ATCCCGGTAGAGCTCGAGTTAATTCGTAACTTGATCTTCATTGTCATCTTGCGTTGTTGCCCCCCTCGTCCTCTGAGTTTCCGAGGCTGTTCATGACGGTCCATGAAGAAATCGTACTGAACGGCGGGCTGGGTGAATAAGAGCAGAGTATGCACATGAGGCATCGTTTATCAGTGGTCGGGCCAGGGCTGGGCTGAGCCATCCTTGCCATGACGATTGAAGCTGCGTTCTTGATATGATACATTGTGCGGCATTGGCGTGAAAGAAGCTGGCGATGACGTCCATGCCGTCGGTCGGTTACCTCGCGGACATTACAAGCTCAGGAGGGACATCTGCCACCTGTCTTGCATTGTGCATGGCTTTTAGATTTTCCAGAGGAGACGTCCATTGACGATCCTTTTCTGCTTATAGTCGTAGCGGGCGACAACATTACGGCATTGCCTACGTTTTGCTCAATGTTTAACTCAGAATCTGTAGAGAATCATTCGGCACTAAGGTCCGGTCATTCTGGGTGCCATCTTGAATCGAGATGAATGAGCATGATACTTGAGATTGACACTACAGCTGGAAGGCTATTTCAGCAGCTTTTTTATTGATGGATCGCCGTGCAGTCACAGAAGATTCATGTGACACTTGAAAGAAAGTATTTTCACTTGGCAGACGCCTGTAAGCCACACACCTTAGAAAAATGTGATCTACCCCTTGGCTGCACGGGATCTTTGCTAAACGCAAATATCGTGATCAACGTTTGGCCGATTCCAAGCCAAGAGCAGCCAGAGTCTCGGAGGTTAGTTTCAGTGACGGAAGACTGTCATATGAATGAGACTGAATTTGAAGGTTGGGCACCCATGGTTTGAGTCACCGAATCATATATAAGTAAGAGGTTAGATTGAAAGATGACGCTTAAAACAAACCGTAAGCCGTTCTAACCAGCCCGAGAACCTGCTTTGTACTAGAAAACATGAAATTGCCATTCGTTATTGAAATGTCCCACCACTGGTACCACGACTCAAAATGGAATATAATGGCCATGAAATATTATTTTCATAGCTTCGCTAGCACTGGTGATCAACGAGATTTGACGGCCTATGTTTTTCAGTTGCAAATCCTTCCGCATTATAACAGGTAGCCTAAACTCGAGCGAATATCAAACGTCCGGAAATTAATATGGTAATGAATCCGCAAAATCATCCATGTTCAATTCGCTGAGCATGAGTTGAGACTCACCTGCCGAGCGACCACCCTGTAGCTTTACATTAATCAACGATTATACCTCACTCTCCCACTGCTAGCTAACCCAATCGAATATCTTGCACACGACAGACGCACTAGAAGCTCGCTTTGAAGTTCAAACGGGTCTTGTGGAGATTATACCTACCATTATGTACATGCTAATCTCAGCACTTTTTCAACGAAGGCCGCATGGCCCAATGGCAAGGCGTCTGACTACGAATCAGGAGATTGCAGGTTCGAGCCCTGCTGTGGTCAATTCATTCAATGAATGCATTATATTTTTGCCCTGTCCACTGTGGATTACCTTGATTCCTCGCCCAATGCTGACATGCGTTTGGAGTTCACCCGCGATTTAAGCCTCCTTTTCTTTCGCATACCTAAATGAGAGACACCCCAAAGCCTCATCATGTCTCTATATACTTGTGAACTTTGTATGAAATCATTTGACCAAGGTTAGACAAAACCATCACTTGATGTTTCTGTAATACACAGGCTCAATTTGAACCTCACATCATACTAAGCTTCCCTATAAAGACGATCTTGTGAATGAGGCTGACAGCGGGAATCAGAAACACGATATGATCGCCATATTCAGTACTGCCGTCGGCGAGCTGCAAGAAAACAGCCTGCACGACCGACAGCGTGCAACGCATGCCGGAGCACTAAGAACAAATGCGACTTTCACCAGCCGTGCTCTCGATGTGCTGCGAAGCAAGCGGAGTGCATCTACGGCCGAGTCTCCGGCACTTCACAGATCCAGACGAAGAGTTCCGACGCACCCGTCGCAACGGCGTTGACGCCAGGTGAGCAGGATCCAACCGCATTCACCGGCGACCACTGGACCTTTGATGGCGACCAAATGGATCTTGGTCTCGTTAGTCAGGAGGACTACAACTACAGCGACACAGTCTTCCACCCACCAGCGAACTTCCTGTCCACGATCGAGACTCTGTTCGATGCGCCCCCTCCAATCCCCAAACCTCTCGCCCCAAACCTCAGTCTTCAACCCGTGGACCTCATGTGCTCCGTCTCGGACACCCATCGACTCCTCTCCCTCGCGAGCCAACCAACCTCAGAGCAAAAGACCATGGGCCAATGCCTCGCCCCAAGCTGTCGCCGTTTCATCACTGCCACGCTCCGAACATTCCCCCGGCTCATGGCCCAGCCGGCCAAGTGGCCGCCCTTTATCCACCCGCTTGTCAGCAGCCTGCATTTCGACGAGCGAGACATCGAACCCCCACCAACCCCGCCCCAGCCGCTGAAGCCGCTGGCTGCTTGTCGCGTCATTTCTCAGGGCTTCGTGGCGCGGTCAGAGGGGTCGATGGACTTTCTCTGGCGGAGCATCGAGGCCGAGGAGCGGTGGATCAAAAGTGATGTCAGTATCAGTCCCAAGCGGGATGGGCGCGGCGTTCAGCTGACAGACGCGCAGATGCACAAGTTTTCGCTCGGGGAATTGCTGGCCGCTATGCAGGCGATGGTGATTTACACAATCATGCGAATGATCGACTTTGGTCCCGACTATTTTACCGAGCACGACGGCATGATTGCCACGATGCAGGTCTGTCAACTCCACAAATACAATTTCTCAATGACGGGCACGAAGCTGATCACCTTTGGTGTAGGATCTTGCTTATGCATATTCGTCCCGCGTCCCTGGACCCTTCAGCCCGCCACACGAGCGCAAGGTTGGGCTTCGCTGGAAGGACTGGTTGTGCGAGGAAGTGCGGCGACGGTAGGTTTCCTTTTTCTCGAGGCTCAAGCAGAGTCTAGGGTTCGTGGGTTGACAATGTGAGCAACCAGGATCATCAATACTTGCTTCTGCGTGGCTCTTGTCGTCGGCACAGGCAGCACCCAAGGCCTCGCGAACCCTGGCCAAGGACCCTTGCCGGGCCCAAGTAGTCTCTGGGAAGCTGATAACGAGTGGGACTGGGCGAGAGAATACATGAGATCCTGGGGCCCCCAAGGGAACGGCAGTGGGAAGTTATTTGACATGTGTAGCCTGGCACTGGCGATGAGACAGCGAGTGGGATCGGAGGGGGCACTGGTGGCTGTGGGAGAAAGCCGGTTAGCGGAGGATGCCCTGGACGAGTGGCAGGCGGGCCTCGATGCGCTGGGCATGATGCTGTCGACGATTATGGTGGACTCTGGTGGTGAATGTCGGGCGAGTATAGGCATGTAGTCATGACCAATGCTCCTGCATCCGTCTGCCGCTCTGCCGCTCGACCTTGTCACTCGTATTCCCTTCATTTTTTGTCCTTCTCACTTTGTACCGCGTTGTCGTCACGGGCTCCTCGGCGGCCGCTTTGGGCCTAGCTCCGGCCAATTCGCCGTGCACATATCATACTTCGCCGCACCAACACCATTTCGCCGCGACTCATTTCATCATCCCCTTGAAGCTCGGATTGGCCTCATGTAGTCAGAGGCCGGTGGCAGAACAAGAGAGAGACACACAAAGCAAGGGAATTCTCAGCTATGCAGATGTACCCGGACGTAAGAGTCATCATGGGGCGCTTAGTGGCTATTTCAGGGTTGTCAGTGATGAAAGGCACTGTACCTTTCGAGAACCTCAAATGTTACGCGGTGTGTGGATCGTATCTGAGGTCAATTTGGGTGCCATCTGTTCTTGACCCGCGCGGGTTCTCGGAACATGGATAGTCGTTGTCGGACGAGATTTGAAATCATTGCCTGGTAAGTAGGATGCGACTCCGTCGACGATTTCAAAGCCGTGCGCAGGACAAGCTGGCGAAGAGTCCGGGAAGCCATCTCTCACTTGATATAAAAGATGACGACCGCCAATCGAGTTGTTGAGCAAAATGCTGTTAGATCATCACACAGCTTTATAGCACTGTCAGCGATACGTGTTAAACAAACAAACAGATAAACAAACGACATCTTCTATCTTTCAAATGGCAAACCGACCTTCGTCTCACCTTGCGGCACTCCTGCCCGCCGTCAGGAGCAAGCTCACTATCGGCAGCCGACAGACACCTTCGCCTGGCGATGGCGAGGTCCTTATCCGGGCTCGTGCCATCGCCGTCAACCCGATTGACTGGAAACGCCAGGCCTGGGGTTTCATGACACCCACACTGCCGGTGGTTCTCGGCGCAGGTGAGATAACGAAGACCCGTACACAGTCTGGGCGAAAAGACACTGACACAAATCTCAGATCTTGCGGGTGAAGTCGTCGGTGTTGGTTCCTGTGTCGAGGAATTCCAAATCGGGGACCGCGTCCTGGCCATGGCCCCCGAAATGATCACCGGAAATAGCGACCACGGTGCGTACCAAGAGTATGCCGTCGTCAAAAGCTTCACGACAGCCAAGCTTCCGAAGAGTCTCTCCTTTACGCAGGCGGCCACGCTGCCGTCGGCCGTGAGCACAGCGTTCATGATGCTGGTCGACAACCTCGGCCTACCCCTCGAAGCTCTGGAGACGGGCAGGACCTCTGCGTCCTCGCCGACGTCCATTTTTGTCTGGGGCGGCTCCTCGGCTGTCGGCACCCTGACCATCCAGCTCGCACACAAGGCGGGCCTCACCGTCTTCGCAACAGCCAGTGCTCAGCACCATGATCGGCTGCGCGATCTGGGAGCCGACGTCGTGGTCGACTACAGTTCGGGCGACGCAGCGCAGGAGATCCTGAATGCGTCTGAAAAGGTCGGCAAGCCGATCGCATGGGCTGTGGACGTCATCGCTACCGAGTCGACGCTCAAGCAGGTGGTGGAGGTGCTGCAGGGGTCGACCGCGACGGATGCGAAGAAGCTGTCAATCACCGTGCCATGGGCCACGACTCTCGAGAAGCCGGAAGATATTGCGATCCAGCAGGTGAATGGTGGTGAGATCTGGAGTCGCAGGTCAGATCTGGCCGAATGGCTTTGCTCCAAGGCTCTGACAGCCTGGCTCGACTCTGGCGATATCAAGCCGCTACAGGCCAAGATCGTGGGGGGCGGGCTCGAGGGTCTTCAGAGTGCCATGGACGAGGTCCACAAGGGGGTTAGCGGCGTGAAGTTGGTCGTGGAGGTCTGAGGCGCCATCGGATGCATTTTTTTGTTTCCTTTTCACTGCAAGGTGCGTAGAATGCCACAGTCGAGACAGGAAATAGACATGAAATGAAAAGTGATATCGATACTTGCAGGGGTGAGCCACGCCAGCGTGGCTGCGGGCCGTTTTGGTGTGGCGCGGAAAGACATGCCGAAATGAGGTGGACCGTCCTTCTGGGAGAAAAAGCCAGGGAAGCATGGACGTCTCGACACTACCTCACCCCACTGCACCCATTAGAGTCGGCCGAAACATCAAACGTCGATTCCACGGTCCCTGTCCATCCTCCTCTCTCCCCCCCCTCGGGCGGAGTCGAGGGATGGTGTCGCTGGAGGATCCATGCTTCGTCAAGATGATCATTTGGCGAGGAATCCAAGCGAATTGATGTCAGACCCTCCTCGAGCTCTCGCGCTCTCAACTCAAGCTCTCATGCCCTGAGCCGCCCAAGAAGTCCCGGCGCTAAGGTACCGTGCCCAGTGGTGGGAGAGTCAGGGATCTTGTTTTTGTTTACCTCACGCCTTTTTTTTCCCTTTCCAGCTTTCCAGCGCCAGCTGCCTGGTCGTCATTCGTCTCACACTCACACACGTAGCACCATCACCATGGCGATGCGTGACGAGCCTCTGCTTTTCCCTGTCCACCATATCCTTCCTCCCTTAGTAGGTCGCCAGCTCCAACAGGCCCGATCCACTTGGGCACTCCCTGTACCGTAGCAAGCATAAGGTAGCCAGCGCATGCCATGCAAAGCAGCCCACGTCGGCGGAGCACAGAGCACAGAGCACAGAGCACAGGCAGGCAAAAAAATAATAATCATGCGATAGAGGCCCACCTGCCCCCAACCTCGCTCATCGGGATCTCACGTCCACGTCCTTCCTTGTCTCTCTTCTTTCCGACTCTCGGGTCGTCCGTCCAGAACGCGTCTCGTCTTCTCCGTCGTCACGATTTCTCACGTCACGAACACACCACATCGTCCGGGCGAACATCTCACATTCTTCCTTCCCGTCTTGACCCCGCCGGCCGCCGATTTCTCACCCCATTCCTGACCCCCATTCTCCTGCAGTCTCTCTTTCGTCGTCGTTTCCCAGGTTTCCCCTCTTCCCGATCCATCTTTCCGCCTATCCACCTCGGCCTTGGAAAGCGACTTTCTGATGGGGCGCCTGCATCAGACATACCTGTTTGGTCACTCCCCCAGCCGCTCTGCCTCCACTACTGGCCTTGCCTTTTGCTTCTTGATGCTGTCCACCGCTCATTGAAAAAGTCACTGCCCTGCCCGACTGAGCTTCGGCAGATGACATCCCCGCGAAGCTGAGCTTCACCTTTCCTTCCCTGCGACAACGGCCTTTTTTCTCCCTTTCTCCCAAAGCCCATGGCCATGGATCCTAGGGCAGTTGTCCCGCCATGCAGTGCGTCAACTCCAAATCTCGACGGCCGGAGGCGATTTCCCCTCATCGGCCGGAGGCCATCATCGGTATCGAGCTCTGCTTCACCAACACCGCCCGCAACACCAACAAGGGCGTCACCCGCTCGTGCACCACCTCAATCTCCTGCTCAGCCATCGACACCCCCAGCAGCAGGCTTGACCATTCGGGCTCTCATCAAGTTTGGTCCACCGTTACTGGCCAACTACGACAACGTCTACGAAGCCTGCAGAGACTTTGTCCCTTCTGATAACATCTGCCAGGGCTTGCTTCGCCGCCTCGAGCATGGCTGTCATGATCTGATCACCCGCCGCGACTCGTCCGCGTTGGATTCCAAATCTGGCAGGAAACCTCTTCGCTTCGAAGCACAATTCACCATCACTCGTGCTGGCGTTCACTGGACCACTGTGACGTACAGATCTTACCAAAAGCTGCCCTTGGACAGACAGGCCGCGGTCGATGTCGCACTGGCCACCGACCGCATTATCGGAACTTTTCTTCGCCGCCATGATAGAGGCTTCACCTGGCAGGCGCCTGATCGCCACTCTATTGATTCCCGCACTACAAGACCCCAAAGCCGCCATAGTCCTTCACTCTTCTCCCTCACCTCACAGGACCGTCTTGTCGTATCAAAACAAAACATACCATTCTTACCCGGCTACGAAATCGTCCTGAACTTCCGCTCAAGATGCCGCTCACGTCAACCTGTCACCTGGGATCGCCGCTTCACCATCAAGAGCACGCAGACCACGCCACTCACGCCGCGATTGGTCGAAGGCTTGACATGGAAGCTGTCGAAATGCATTCACGACGCGCTGGATGCCAGAAAACGCGAATTCGACGACTCGCGGGCGGCGTGCGATTTCCTGGAAGAGGTGGAAGACTCATTTGAAGATGAAGCCGTCTTCATCGACTTCAAGCTACACAACTGCACCGGGATGAATAACTCGGACGCTGGGCGCTCTGTCACTAGTAGTTTCCCTCTCTTCCAAGACTCGGATGCACACGACGCGCGTGAGTTTGCTGAGCAGCTGGACAAGTCGCTCGTCGACCTAAGGGACGAGACGGACAAGGCTCTGAACTCACTCGACGACCTCAAGATTCTCATTCGAGAGATCTCTGGCCGTGACCAGACACTCAAGAATCCCTTTGCTGTGGTTCTTGACTCCTCAGTCTGTTACGCACCACGAACGATCGACGCTGCCTTGGACAGAGTCCAGTCTGGGATCGCCCACGTTCTGTATGGCAAAGATGTGACCCTGGTCATGGCTGCGACCAAACGTGGGCACATGGTGCTTGAAAAGACCATTGTTGGTCGACCAGCTTCTCTCAACTCTCTCAGTTCTCTTCATTCTCTCGCTGAGGAGCCCCAGACGGAACAAGAGATCCTCCTTTCAAGCCTCAAAGAGTGCATTCAGCGGGACATCGCCATGGTCATACTTGACACAAGGTCGTTGAGCGACATGCAGGCAAGGCCCCAGAATCTTCGCTTGATTGAGCGCAGCGCACCCCCCTCCACCACTCGACCACCCGCCGTATTTGCCCAAGTTTCCAGCGGCCCGTCCGTCCCTCCATCCAAAGCCGGGATCGAGACGAATGAGACGCATCCCGAAACGACTGTCTCAACGGCCCCAGCCGCGCTGCCACATCAGCCTGAAACACCAATCAAGAGCACGGTCAGAAACGATGATCTAGGAATCGAGACCCCATTGATCAGCCGCGAAAGCAGCACCGATCTCTCTGCCATCACTGTCGATAACGAAGTTGGGCATTCGACCCCGCCATCTACACCCAGCCTCAGCGACTGCGCCGTTGACAGCCCTCGTCATAGCTACCCGACCACACCCCCTGCGCTGCAAGCTTTTGAGGGCGCAACCGATGAAATTCGCGTCCGGCGCGATTCCGACACTTCGGATCAAGAATGCGAAGATGGCATCGCATCACCAGAGATTCCGAAAGAAACTGCGCCTGTCATGGTCAAAGAACCGCGCCGATTCGGACTGCTTGGCAGGCGACCCGAGTCGACCACATCTGCATCTGATGTAGTTGCGAATTCTGAAGAGACCTTGACGAGCAACACGTCGGACGCACATGTCGAGCAGCCGAATCTCACCCCGGCTGTCGATGACCCAACAATGCCGGCTATTCAGAAAGCTCCGCATGAATCACCTTTTGAAGGATGGCTTGGTTATTCGTGCGAACCCATTCTTGAGGAGCCACTCAATGAGCAGCTGGATACACTGGTTGGACACGTAAAGTTGGAGGAGTTCCCCGCTGCCCAGCCATCAGCCTCGATTACTCAGGCCATCACGGCCATGTCGCCCGAGGCAGCTGTGAATGCTGCACCCGCGGACGAGGATGCCAGCGCAGTTCCTCTGCTACAGGATGCAGTCGTTAACCTGGCTCCTCTCGTTGATGTGCCTGTGGCCACCGATCTCGCTTCCGTTTCGAAACCCGAGATGGAGGGCTGGCTTGGATATTGTTGCGACCCGCTCGACGAAGGCCAACTCCATACTGACGTGACGCAAGCCCCGACCACCATCAGCCATCCTCTCGGTACCCTTGAGAGCGTCGCCATTGAAGATCAAGAGCTACCTCTTTCAATCCCCCCTGCAGAATCTACCGAGGGAACAATTCCTGTGGATGACTGCAAGGAGCTGGACCTACTCAATACGCACTGCACAGTAGATGGTGCGGAGGCAGCTCAGGGTGTTGCAGTGAACGAGCCAAAAGCATCTTTTGATCACATGAAAAACGAAATGCCCTTGCAGCATTCAATAGTCTTGGACACCATGGCCCCCAACGCAGCTGTTGGGTCCATTGAGCGAGCTAAGCTCAATGGCCCTCCTGGCTTCACCCCGGTAGAAGCCATTGAGGATGCTCTTGCTCCTGCCAAGGCTCTTACCCTCACCACTGAATCCCCCGAGTCCCGCCAGCGCTCGGATGAAGATGTTAACGATACCCCCAAAACCCCCACCGACACGCAGGCGTACGAGACCGCCGATCCTCAGACACCAACGATGACAGACGACTCAAACGCGAGCGACTCCATTGCAAACCAAGACCACTCTCCTAGTCCATTCCCTGAGCTTGAGAGCCCCAAGCTGACAGGGTCTGCTTCATCCACCTCGCTCACACTGTGGTCTCATAATCGATCCTCTTTCTTCTCAGATGACTTCGATTTCCCCCCAAAGGGCATCGAGTCCCCCTCCCAATATGCTCGTCCCTCATTTTCGCGCCCCCAAACCTCCTATGGGTCAGCCCTCTCCCACATCGCCCCGGCTTTACGCCGACCCCAGCTCCAGCCCCATAAGCGCCAGTTCTCCTCTCCGACTGCTGGGTACCTCGGCCTCCTTCACGGGCATGGTTCCCCACTACGGATGACGAGCTACGTCTGTTCTCAGCTTGTGGATGGAACGCAGGATGAGGGGCCTGCAGTGCGTCGCCGGAGCCTACACCGCAGCCCCTCGAGCGTGCTTCTTGGCCTTGGCTACGAACAGAGCATCGAGGCACAATCGCGACCTGGGTCGTCGGCTGGATTCCGGCCTAGGACTGATAGCATGAGTTCTTTCGGTGGCAGGTCCAGGACAGGATCGATCATTGGTGGTGCTGGACTTTGGATGAAGTAGAGACGCATCTCCCAGCCTCTTGCTCGGCATGGTGTAAAACAGGGGGGGCACTCATTTCTTTCACGTTTGCATATTTTGGGTTTATCTTACTGGAGGGCCCTGAGCCTGGCGTTTTCGGCATGGTACATGGGGCAAGGGGAAAAGGGATCATCATAGCGCCCCCAGGCATTTGTGAGCGTTTATTGCAAAGCATCAAATTGACACAAACTTCTCTGCGTCCAGCTCTCGTCTGACTCGTGTGCTCCCTGTCCACGGTATATGCTTCTGACATGCAACGGCCAGACTGGCAAGACGTATCCTAGTCGCGCGGGAGAACAAGTCGATCAGGGCTTTTCGCCGTCGGTCAGCTGGGTCAACGGATCCAGATGCAGCCGTGTGATGAGAAGGCAGAGCCCTCGCATGTATGTGGATGTCCTTGACAAGGCACGCTTCTCAACTCGGCCTTCGCCGTGTTGATCCTTGCCTTCGCGCGCGCATCCTTGGGACTTACCTAGGACCTTACCCGCGGGAGACTCTCGTCGTCTTTGCTTCCCAGAAGAGCAGGTCAGAAGCACAGGCGCGCTGTCTCTGCTGCGGACGAGTGGAGTCCGCCTGAGCATTCGTGATTCCGCAACCTTGGAGGCGGGAGGAGAGGGAGGCAGAAAGGGGGAGGCTGGCTCGCTGGATGAGCGGCCGACGTCCCGCGACCATGGTTCGCGGCCCAGTTCCGGCCGGGTCTGCCTTGCCCGTTGGCGCTTCGTGCTTGGCGAACGGGGGCCCCCCGCTGTATGCCTTTATTGTTACGGAATTTTGCGCGCGCGAGAGGGAGGGTCGTTTGTGTGAGGGCTGTCGCAAACGCAGGCGATGATGTCCACAGCTGGTGGAACGGCCCGGGGGGTGATCCAACAGGGGTCGTCTCACAACTTGCGTCTGATTGGCTTGGTTCCTTGCGAAATAGAGATGACTTACCCGAAATGTATGGGTTGAAGCGGAGCTAGCAACCAACAGCATATAGATGGTTACATCTCATGCAGATGCGAAGTGGAAGTGGGACGGCGAGAATGCCCTACAACCCCCCCCCCCTTCGCTCTTCCTGTCACCTGAGCGCCCCCAGCCTTCATGTTGCAGAAAAGGATCATGATACTGCCCTTCGGACTCCGAGTGCCCCCGTGACGGTCTTGATCGGAGGTTCTCCTATATGTAGTGAGAAGCCCGCTTGTTTGAGCGTGCTGGTCGTTTGAACTCTCCAGAAACTGCCAACTAACACACAACCATATTCTGATTTCACGGACTGACACCGTTTTCCCCATGTCCTCTTCCAAGTGGCAAATATTGTTTGCCCTTCAGGAGGCTCATGAGTGCGCTCGAAACCGTAGCGATGACTGGCGGTTCAACCTCGATTTGATAGCAGATGAGGACTTTTTCCACTGCATGGGTTTGGCCAAGTCGACAAAGTTGAGATGCAGCAGGAAGATGAAAAGCATGCTTCGCCTTGATGCCCGGCTACTACGGGATGAGCTTGGCTCCAAGACTTTTGACTGGACGTCAGATTTCGTCAAGATTCAAGACTTTCTCACGAAATCCCACTGCGGTTACCACCTAGCTCAAGCAACCTAAAGGCTCGACCTGTGGAAGTTACATCACGTTCGCGCCGTTTCTTTCCGTGGCAATTCCAGCGCACAACACTGCGAGTCCGCCTCCGGGGTGGAAGATCCCGGGGCGAAGGCTTCCGGGGCGAAGATTCCGTATGCAGGGAGCGATGATGATGCTACCCTCGTGAGAAAGCCCCAAGAGACGGAGCTTGAAGGCAGCTCCCCCGGCAGTCCAAGCGTCCGCGCCCAGGCAAAGAGGCGGTCTGCACACCTCGCAGCGAAGCAGCAGAAGAAAGAGCAGCCACCCCCCGCGGCGGCCACCATGAACCACGACTTGGTAGCATCTGACACGAGTGGCATGTCCAAGTTGGCGTTGGAAGGCGACATCGTGCTTGAGACGGAAGACGAGGACGAAGACGACGACGACGAGTCCTCATTTGTGGACCCAAGGATCCGCGACCTGGACGTTCCTGCCTCTTCTTTCGACGAGATTGGCGAAATCTCCAAGCTCTCGCCTCGCCGCCTCGCCAAAAATCGCGATCGGTCACAAACGCTCCGCGAGCTCTACAAGACACTCACCAAGAAACAGGCCCAGCTAGGTATTGTCTACGTCCTTGCTCATAGGAACATATCTGGCCTGTTCAAAGTCGGGTTCTCTGCAACGTCGGCTGCGGCTAGGCTGAAGCAGAGCAAGAACTGCTACAAGAAGGACATGGATATTATTTACGAGTCGGGCCAGCGCTTCTTTGGCGCATTCAAAGCCGAGAAGCTTGCCAAGACGATACTACGGGACCAAAACGTTCACGTCAGAAAGTGCAGTCAGTGCGCCGCCGGGCATGTCGAGTACTTCCAGGGGACTCGGGAGCAAATTCTTTCTGTCGTCCACGCAATGGAGATGTTCTTGCAGACGGGCGCTTATGTCCTCGACGAAGAGGTGGGTTGGATCCTCAGCGACTTTTGGCACCAGTCCCTCGACACGTTTTCGGATACTGCCTTTCTCCAGAAAATGGTATCCACGGCCCGCTCGCTCCGTGGATCACGCGACCATGCTGCGGCGAGGGAGGTGAATCGCATT